ATAATTTGTAATGAAGTTTACTCTAAATTGGGCTATCAACAATATGTTAGAGAAATGCTTTGAATTTATGGTAATCAGCTAAAATTTTAATTTATTATATCATAACTTGAAATTTTAACGATTACGATAAATATTATTTGTCACTTTCTGAACAAATTACATTAGAAGTTGCTTACTGAGCAGAGTAAATGTTAAATAGCTTACTAAAAGAAATATGATGTTAAGTAGCCAACTGCTAAAAAATGTTTCATTTAATTTATAACTATCTCATACTCATAGTATATGAAATCTTATAAAAGCTTTTGTCAAGGTGATAATTTTTCATAATGTATTTTGCAGTTTGATATGTTTATATTATGGCATTTTTTTTTAAAATATCAACTCCAGAAAATATGTTAATGGTCTTTGAACAAAGCTTGGAGAGGAGACAACTCAAACAAACTGAATCAAACACTAGAAAGAAGAAAAAAAGTCAATGAAAAAACATTTTGAAATGCACTTACCCTTTATGTTGGATATTTTAAGGTTTTCTTTCTACTAAAGTTAATGTTTGCCCTTATTGTGCTTAAAAAGGTTAGACTCAAAGCATTGTTTTGTTTTTGACTTATTTATGAAATGGTTTAATTTTTTTTTTTACATGGCCTCTCCCAAATTCAAATCATTTTGCTAAATGCTTATAAACACCAAAAGCAAATTCAAATAGCTGAAAGTATAAATTCACAATCAAACATGTTAACAATTTTTTTTTAAAAACGATAAATGATATTAGGTTAATTTGACTTAATTAATGTGTTGGCAAGGAACTGGAAGTATTAAATTGGAATTAGTTTTAAATTCAGGCATTTAATTGATTTCTGTCCATTCAGTTGTAAGTGCCTTTATTCTAACCATTCCTGATTCTCAAGTTTAAAACCCTAATTTTACATTTTATATCCTCAGATCTATTTATAATTATCTTTAAATTACAAAAAATAATTATAGATAATTGAAGAAAACAAACACAATATTTACAGAAAACTTAATTAGAGTAAACAATTTTTTTTGTTTAATTTTTTTCATTATGAGCTTGATAATATTTATTCTCAGAATTTAAAAAGGTATTTCCACATTGTTATAAAGTAAGTTTTACTTCCCTAGAATGTCATGCATTTTGTAATGATTCCTGAATGCGAAACATTGATTTATAAATATTCTTTAATGCGTTGAATAAAATATAAATAATTTTTTGGTGTTTAACAAAGGATTTTGTGGTGGAAAGTAAATGTTCATGTGATTACGTTGAGCAATCTTATAAATATAAAACACAGCTTTTCAGTGTCGCTTTATTGAAAAAAAAAAAATTCATACAGAAGGTTTTGAATTTATGTGAACACTGAAAGAAATTCATTGTCTTAATATCATGATTGTGTATGGAAATATTTCTCATGCACTTCATAAGTGAAAGCTCAAAGTTGATTTCATTTCAATGCTGCTTGAACATCTTTACTACAGGGTTCAAAGGAATAATTTTTATAATTATTGATTAAAATGCACAATGCCGATATATGTGCAAGTTCAAATGATTTTTTGTAAAAAAGTAAGACACCTAAATTTATTCAATGCACATTTTATTTATATTTAACAAAATATGAAAAATAATGTAGGCCCAACCATTGAACATAAAATGCCTTGTCTTTTTTGTTTTTTTTGTTGTTTTTTTTGTTATATAAGAATACATCTCCGTCAACAAAATTGTTAATGAAAATGCTGTTGTTTTTCTTGAAAATAATAAGTTAAATATCCCAGTATAGGGCCCATATGAAAATTTCCATTTCACTACCAATTTTATGCTTTAAAAAAAAATAATATGTTTATTTCTGCTTTATATATAGATATATTTATATATATATACTTCTTTTGGATGCAATAAAATTCGATTTGGTCTATATCTTATTTAAAATTTAATGAAGCAATATATCTGAAGCAATTTTTTTGTACATACCCAAAAGGACATCTGGACTGTCATACCTAGGTATATGTGCAGTTTAAAAAGTGCTTCCATTTCATGGTTTTTGTATCCATGATGACCACACAACTGCAATAAATAATTAATGGTGGCCACATGACTCTTTTGACTCATTGATGATGGCCAGATACCAAACTTTCATGCTGTAGCAAGCACAGCATGGGGTGGGGGGTGGGTGCAGAGTGCCAACCCCACCACCACCCACCCAACCAAAAAATGTTTAAACCTAAGAAAGGTATAGTCTTGAAGACAGCTGTTAACACACTACTGTTGAAGTTCTATTTATTGATTTATCCCTTTCTTTTCATAGACATCCTAAATTTCAATTAACCAAAGAAATTTTACTTGGTTTTTTTTAGGAATGCTAATGCTATAACTTTTTTCCCTGTCCTCAAATTTGTGTTATTAGTTGAACAATTAATAACTAAAAAGGTGCATGAGCTTTTCTCTATGAAAGTAATCAAAAGAAATACAAATAATGTTTCTTTTAAATGATAATGGTAACCAACTTTATTACCGATAAGATCTAGGTAATAAATTATTGTTTCACAACTGTTACCTTTGGAAAAAATTGTTTATTTTCAAATGAAGTAAGTTGATTCAGTTTTTCAATGATTACACATTTGAAATTTTAAACTTAGAAAGGTTAAAACAATGCTTTAAATTGTTTTAACCTTTCTAAGTTTAAAATTTCACATGTGTAATTGAAGAAAAACTAATTCATATTTCATTGGCTGTATAAAAGAATATTTTATGCTGTTTTTAGAAAAATGCACCACTAAGAACATTAAAAATCATCCTCTTATTTTCCATCCTTTCTATCATGAACTTATCTTCTATCCTTTCTGTCATCACAACATCTTCAATTTTTCCTGTCGGTAGAAATTTAAACTTAACATACATCTGCTAATAACTTATTTTCCAACTTTTTTTTATTTCTTAAAAACGAAATACTCACCTTTGATGTGTTTTTAGATTTAGGCAATTTATTTTAATAAAATAAAACCCAACAAATCAAACTCATCAATATTTCTCTTTAACTTTATTTTTTTTAAAATATATATATATTATTATATATTGCCACAATTAAACATAAAGAGTTATTCAACTGTTTGGTAAAATATGTAGGTATTTCTATTTTTTTAATTTTTAAAAAAAGATATTTTGTGAAAAAAATGTATACATTTTGAGAAGGCAGGAATAAAAATTCTTTAAAACTTTTTTGATGCACACATTTGACTGTGATGACTTGAAAGCTCTAACTCTAATATAAGTTTGCAGTGTACATCTTTCACCCCTAAATTTTTTTTTTTATGAGCTTGTGCAATACTGATACAAACTCATTTCTGTCCCCTTATTTGTGAATTTTTGTGTTTTTTTTATTAAGGTTTAAAATTTCCTCTAAGTTCACATCTCCAATACACAAACATGTTCAGAAAATAATTATGTTATATAACTACTAGTTTCATTTGAAACTATGAATGTATAACAATGGCATCTTTTCACACATAGTTTAAATTTAGAATTGATAATTCCTTATGCAAATTTTAATATACACAGCTACAATTTTACAATGTTATAAAAAGCTGTCAGATTTTACTTTCAAAGTTTATGCTCATTTTTTGTTTGTATGTTGTTTTTAAAAATCTTATTTCTTCAAGTTTGGAGGCGGTCAAATCACTTTATATTTTCTCCCCTTATTTATATCTACCTACATGGTCAGTTTTTAATTATAGACAACAGGATCTAAGGTGGTCAGTTTTGTTTTTTGTGTGCTAGGATTAATTTAAGAATGGTTTTCACATAAATTGTAAGCTATTTTGGCATAATTTAAGAATAGTTTTCACACAAATTGTAAGCGATTTTGGCATAATTAAAAATGGTTTTCACACAAATTGTAAGCTGTTTTGGCATAATTTAAGAATAGTTTTCACACAAATTGTAAGCGATTTTGGCATAATTAAAAATGGTTTTCACACAAATTGTAAGCTGTTTTGGCATAATTTAAGAGAAGTTTTCACACAAATTGTAAGCGATTTTGGCATAATTAAAAATGGTTTTCACACAAATTGTAAGCTGTTTTGGCATAATTTAAGAGAAGTTTTCACACAAATTGTAAGCTTTTTTGGCATAATTTAAGAATGGTTCACACATAATTGTAAGCTATTTTGGCATAATTTAAGAATGGTTTTCACACAAATTGTAATCTATTTTGGCATAATTTAAGAATGGTTTTCACACAAATTGTAAGCTATTTTGACATAGTTTAAGAAGGTTTTCACACAAACTGCACTGAATTGTAATCCGATTTTACATAGTTGGACTGGGACTCGTGTAATAATGGAAGGAATAATTCCTTAAATCATTATAGTGGATATGGTGGTATATCTATCAACTTTAATAAAAAGAATTGTAAAAAGGGGGATGTTAGAACAAATATTTGGTGTTATTTGGCTCTCATTTATAAATTTCCATTTATTGATGTTTTTTTGAAAGTGTAGTTTGAAGAGTTATAAATGTTTAGATATCAGATTCATAACACATAAATTTTAAATAATGTGAAAGTTAATAGTTTGCTTTTATTTATTTAACATGTTAGCTTTATTTTTTCAAAGGCTTAAAAGTATGAATTTCAGCTATTTTTCTTCTTTGACTAACTAAAGAACATTTCAAGATTAATTCCTGATATTCCATGTTTTGATGTTTCTGTGTGTGGTGGCTATAACTTAACAGAATGGTCAGAGGAATAAAAGTTTATCAAAGTTTTCTGGACATGTGTGCTTCTTACTTTTCTATTGTGTGTCATGTAAAGGACTTAGATGCTTAGACCTGGCTGGATAGCCGCATGAACATTATAACTAATGGTCTGGCTATAAGAGGTGTGACACCTGTATAGCTTTGAGATATCGGGTAGTGACAATTGTATAGCTTGTGTTACAATTGACTAGCTATGAGCCATCTGAGACTTGTGTTGTATAGATGTGAGTTGTGACAACAGGCTAGCTGTGCCATTTTTTTTTTTTGTGTTTCAGTTTTATAGGTATGAAGCGTTACAACTGGCTAGGCTATTAACCTATTCAAAATAAAATTTTATTTTATGTATTCTAGACCAAAATAAATAATTAGTTTTGAAGTCACAAATCTAAGATCTCAAATATGCATGAAAACAAGTTTTAATTAAAAAATAGTTCAAACATTGTATGTCAAATATCCACATGTGAGGCTAATTTAATCAGAGTGAACAATGGAGGTGAGGGAATACTGTTAAAAAATTGAAAAAAAATTAAATGTACATAGAATAAAATAAACAATAACAGCATGACATGAAAGGTAAGGAATGGGACTAGAATTCATCTAGAATAACTTAACCGGACAGTCCTGGTATTAGCTTGTTCTCTGTTAATCATAAACAATGAAATTTTATTCCATATCTTGAACGGAAAGTTAATGACAACTTAAACATGATTTATAGGTTATTTCGATTTATTTTTTAAATGAAAAACATGGGTGCTTTTCAAGTTTCTGAACACATTTCTTCAGACGAGCCATCAGTATCAGCCATCAGTATCATTGGGTTGTCCTCAGTTTTGCCAATTCATAGTGTTTGTTTGCATGACATTATCTCAAGTCTCCACAGCCGTTCACTTTAAACCAATGGACTCTGGTAGAGTGAAACTTCTCAAAGTTGAGATAGCAAAAAGAACTCTATAGCAGTAGCTGACTTCTCTTAAAAAGAACTCTATAGCATTAGCTGACTTCTCTTAAAAAGAACTTTATAGCAGTAGCTGACTTCTCTTAAAAAGAACTCTATAAAGCAGTAGCTGACTTCTCTTAAAAAGAACTCTATAGCAGTAGCTGACTTCTCTTAAAAAGAACTCTATTGAAGTAGCGGACTTCTCTTACAAAGAACTCTATAGCAGTAGCTGATTTCTCTTAAAAAGAACTCTATAGCAGTAGCTGACTTCTCTTAAAAAGAACTCTATAGCAGTAGCTGACTTCTCTTACTGGCTCAATGACTATTCATTTTGAAAAACATCTGTTACTGAGTACGCAATGTTTTTTTGTTTTTTTTTGTGGAAAAATAAAATTGTGCCTAGTATCTTGGATCCTTCTACTATCCTTAAAATCAAACTAAACAACCTTTTCTTAGCTGCAGTAGAACAAAGATGCTGCCTTTGGCAGACCACCCATTTTCCCTCACTACGGTGATAATTATATGTGAGATCAGAAGAGGATCTGAATTTTGATGAGTTGTCACCAGGGATTATAAAGATTTATAATTCACTGTTACATTGAACAAAAGCTTGTTAGTCAGTTATTTCATACCTAGAAATCAATACATTCATACATGACTGCACATTAAATGTAATTATCAGTCAGTAGGAGCTTTACTATAAATAAATCCATACGGTATCATTGATGGATCTCGGTAACATAAATTGTATCATTGATGGCTCTCAGTAAAATAAATCATATCATGGATGGGTCCCAGCAACATACAATGTATCCTTTATGCCACCCAGCAGTAGCTGTCCTAGACATTGAGCTCATGTTGTGTGTTGAGCTGCTTCTGCTGTTTGACTGCCCTGACCATCCGTGGCCACCAGTTCAATAAGAGATTCTATGGCTTGTTCAAGGCCAAGTGCATCTACCAAACAGGTGAACATCTTTGGAGAAGATTCCAAAACATGTTTGGAGTCCAAAGCAAGCACTGGAAAAAAAAAACAGAAGCAACTATCAGGAATATATTTAGCACATAAATTTAATGAGGAAACAACTCATTAAATGACAGAACAATATGATCACATGAACACAAAATTGTATAAGGGACAAAATGATGCATGCTTTAGTTATCACAAATATTACAATATGAACATTCCAATTGCAATAGACAAAACAGCTAAATCTGCAACTGAGCCACTCCCTGTAAGCTCTTTTATTCATGTCTAAAATCTTCACTAAATAATTTACTACAGTGCTAAACAAAAATTTTCTCTTGCCTAAACTTAACTTGTTCCACTTTTTGTTTATTTTCCTGTGCATGAACAAGACACCTGTTATAAATGACAGATTGTGACAAAATAGCTGTAACAACATGGCTGTGACAAAGAAAACAGCTGTAACAACATGACTGCAGTAACAAAACAGCTGTAACAACATGACTGCAGTAACAAAACGGCTTTAACAACACGGCTGTGCAGTAACAAAACAGCTGATATCTAACTTACTCTCTTGTGGTGCTTCAAAATGCACTTTTATATCTGGTTCCACTCTGTCATTCAGTACTTTTCTTCCCCACTCCAGGGTGAACGTAGCACTGGGAAAATGGCCATGTGGAAATAATCATTAAGAATTTCATACAAGACTGAAATTAGTAATCATATTAGACACAAGATGAATATCTAGAAGCTGTAATGATCTAATAACCAGACCAACAAATAAAATACCCAGGCTATTTGAGCCCTGTGATCCTGTTGCTAAACGATACAAGGGCAGCATCCATCAATGTTGTCCCAGTGAGTTAAACACAGCCGCCAGCTGCAAGATGTGACCCTTCATTTTCTACACTCTACATTCAAAGGAAATGAGGGAAAGAAAGTATGGAAAAATCTGGAAATGAAGCAATAAAACAACAACCATGTCGGCAATGTAAAATAAAATGAAGGCTTAGCTGCATTCCTCTTGCTGTCCGCTCAGACACCATGTTGCAGCTAAGTGTTTATTTTCATTTTATATTGTTTTTACTGTTGTTTTATCGCGGGAGAAGGCTTCTTGCCGAAACATTTGTTATGTTGCATCCTTTTCAGGTTGTCTCATACTTTGCTTCGCTCATTTCCTTTCCCCCCAACCCGATTGCAGTCTCTCCCCCTTATTACCATTCTCTATATTGGCACATTGATGTATCAAATAGATTATTTACATTGAAAATTACACACGCCTCTGTCTGATGACAACTTTTAAAGTTCCCCAAAACTTTTTTCGCAAGACCATCTGGTTGTTTGATTTTAGTGGATATTATTTTTGGCTTCAACGTACATGTAATAAGGCTGGAAATAAAAAGTTTGGGTTAAACAGAGATGAAATCAAAATCAGCACTCACCGTTTTGGTTTAGGATTACTAATCTTTAGGCATGTATTTCCCCTTTCATTGACAAAAGTTGAAACATTATTTGGATAGGACTTCATTTGTTTCTCCAGAACCAGGGCTTGGATTTTATCACACTCAATGTATGTCTTTAGCAGGGAAAATGTGGAATGTATTGATAGATTTTCAGCCGACCTAAATTTGACAAATAAAAAATGTGTTTTTCAGATAATCTTTGCTCCAACATGTACAAATCACGGGTTAACATGACTTCTGTATGTGTATAAAATATCCTGTAGGGCAGGCCTGCATAACATACGGCCCGCCAGGACCACTTGGCAGCCCGCGAAGTAACGAAATATTCTTTAACATTATTATTTTTTTAAATAGCTTTTGCCCACTTCCTATAATCTCTCGGCCTGCACAAGTTTTTCATGAAGTATTACAGCCCGCCTTACAATTTGAGTTGGCCAGACCTGCTGTAGGGTATAAATGTATGTAAACTAAACTTTAATTTCATTCATTTCAGACACCAGAGCTCATCAAGTGGGAAAGCATAAGCCAAGTAAATGGCAAGGGCCAGTGGAAGATCTAAGGCAGTCTAAAAAGCCCTGCAACAAATGACCTGCTCAATATCATAGGCTGACAGGGTCCCTAACATCTTTGGTTTATATCTGAGGAATTTTTTGTTCTCAAGAAAGATGAGGAAAAGGGCTGGGTGACATAATGATGCTAAGTGCTATCTTTGATGTGATAGACACCATCCACACGGAAGGAGGAAAGGTAAACCATTCAGTGGATCACTTGCCACACTGGAAATGAACAAGATAAATTGTCTCTGCTTTGCTTCACAACATATATGTTTACTTCCTTCCTGAATGGTAAAATGAAAATTTTTTAAATAAAATAATTTATTTTAAAATTCATAAGTATTATGAATTTTTCCACTCTGATAAATTGCAATTTTGTCAAGAATGAGCTCAGATGATGAATAAGGTAACAAGTTTAATTTAGTGATCATCATCTTCCTGTACTGAAATGAACTAAAGTAAAATAAATAAAGTATTTCTTGACAAACATATTTAGTTTACTGTAGCTAGATGGTTTTCAAGATCTGCTTTAAGATTTGGTTTGTAGAATGAGCAATACATAACAAAGAACTGAAAACCAGTAAACAAAGAAAAATTATACTTGAGTTATTGATACTTACAATGGTCAATTTAATTATACAATTAAATTTCTTTTTAAAAAAACAAATTCAAATATACAGATGAAAAAAAAACTGTAATGACTTACAGAAAAGGAGGTGAAAAGGTAAAATCCTTGAAAAATCACAAATATTAATTTACACACACACTTTAAGAGTACAATCTCTTGCAATTATATAACGTTTTGTACAAGTTAAGAAATATAGCAAGATCTCTCCCGGCTAGGAAAGCTGCCAGTTTATATATGTATATAGAGATTAAATCAGAACAATTGATTAAAGAAATTCTAGAAATTGTGTCACCTAATGGAATTCTTTAAAACAAATAGAACATATTTGAACATAAACAACCTTTTCACAATGAAGGAAGGGGTGGGTTAAAAGAAGGAGTGGCACAGTGCTAAACATGTTATTGGTGTCATCATTATCAAAACAAAACAAGGGGAGACAAGTGATGGTTGCTAGAATTTGGTCTTCACATATGCCATAACATTGTTTTTAACCTTATGTTTCAATGTTGAGACAGAAAGGTTTTATTACTCTGTCCGCTATGTGGATAACAAGTATTAAGTTCATACTTTCGTATTTCTCCCCCAATGGCGTTGTGGATGTCCTGTCCGAATTTCACTTCAAACCAGAGAAGTTTATTGCCCTGGACATCAGAGGAATCAGATGACTGAAAAAAGAACAAGAATACTTAAGTTTCCAAAAGATTCACATAAAGTGGGTTAAATAAATTGCATGAAACATTATCAACTATACGGCTACTGTAATTTTATACTAACATGCGGTTATCATTTTCTCACCAGTGCCTCCTGTAGTTTGTATGTAACAATAACTTTCCTATCCAAAACAATGAGCTCAAGATGAAATAGTTTTGTGCACTGGTTGTCATCTGAAATGAAGTAAATTTGAATCACATGCATATTTTGTGGAACAATATTGAACACATGATTGCAATGCTGAAGTAAAATGTTGCAAACAATTCAGTTAGTATGATTTAAACATTGTGTAAGACAAATGATGTGCAGAGATTGAATTAAAACGATGATGATGAACTCACCCAAGTCCACCACCTCTCGAGCAATGTTGTCAATAGTAACACCAGTCAACTTGATTGTTTCTCGAAGCTGAAGAAAAATTTAGCATCTGTGTTATTTCCAGACAATATGATTTTGTTTTAACAGAGGAACAAAAGGCAGACAAAAGTAAAGTCAAACAACAAACAATACCAAGTAAACAATCACTGTGAAGCAGAATATTTTTTTGATGAGCTATGCTCCAACTTCATTCTTGCTAAAATGTTTATCTCAAACTCTACTCTAATATTTTTCAAATTTAAAAAAACAAAAAAAAAAAGCAAAAACACATTTGATATGAATGGGGAAAAATTGTGATTCTTTACCCTATTTGCAGAGTCTTCAATTTCCATCTTTAGTCTTTTTTTAACATCTTCAATATTACTAGAACCATCCGGTCTAAAAGAAACAAAATACTTTCATTTATTATTTAAAGTAATTTGGGTATGTTGAGCTAATTACTAACCAAAGCAGCATTTGAAATTAGTACGTTTTCATTTTTAACAAATTCTACCCAAAATTAATGTTGTACTGAAGTCTGTAAATGTTTGAAATAATATGAATATGAGAGAACATTTGAAAGACTATGGGTTGATATAAATCCGCAAAAATCTTACAACGGTTGTGCTGAAGCATTTTAAAAAAAAGGACAATGTCTTTCAAGACTCTAACAGGGATTCAATAGTACCAGACCTAAAAAAAATGAACAATTTTCAGTTTATTTTATAAAGAATGCTTGTAACAAGGATAAAAAAAGGTAGATAAGATTTTATATTTGGATCAATATATCATTGTTTACGTTCATGCCAGACGTCAAGATTTTAAAAATTCAACTTAATTTGCTTATTAGTTAGATTTTAACTTACCGGGTACTGAATTTCTGAACAATGAAGAGTCTAATTTTTAAAATTTATTTAATGCAATATTTACCTAACAATGACTTGCAGATTTTGTTCAGGTATGACACCTGGACCAAACTGCTGCAATCCTCTTCTTAAATAATTTATTTCCTTTTCAAGACCTAATATGGCTTCTGCATTGACCCTTTGAAACTCATCAAGCTCTGCTTTGGTGAGACCACTGATGTCCAACTCTGCTTCATCCATCATCCCACCTGATAAAGAAGACCAGCAAATGTAACAAAAATCTATGTTGTTAAGCTTGGAAGTGACCTGTAAACAAAGAAGTAGAGTAACTTCAACAAGAATAAGATTATTAAAGAATTTTTTTTTTTAAATAGATAAAGAAATAACATAGTTTAAAAAAATAGCAGAAACTGTACTTTATCAAAACATTATGTAGCTTATTTAAATTAGTTTAACTATATTCAAGCAAGACCCAACCATACACAGTAGCTCTGGGCATGACACCTTGAGAGGATGCCATATTATAAAGGAACAAAGCGATTTAAAGACAGAAAGAGACAGGGGGTGGGGGAACCTAATTAATGTTATAGACAGATTTACATAACATCAGCTGTGTGTAAGAAAATGGATGCCAGGGGGAAGAGAATTTTGGACGGGTGAAGACCCAGAAATTGTAATTGTATGTACTGTAAGTGTAACACCTACCATTAAGTAGAGACCATGGTAAGGTAATCTCACATTTAAGACTAGACTCGAGTGAGAGGTAGACAATGTTGAAGGTTCCCAATGATATTGGACAAGATTATAAGAGTCTAGATAAAAGGTTACAGGAAATATAGTGTCAATGTTTTAATGACACTATGGCTATGTCTATGCTCCCCAGGGCGATGAAAGAGAAAGTAAACACAACCAGACCCCCAAAACGCCAAGAGTTGAAAAGGCCTAGAGAGGGGAGTAGCAAAAACTTAAAGATTAAAATAAAAACGTTGGTTGTATACTATAGGACTAGAACTATGGCAGGCATTGGGACAGTAACAATGTAGGGGGTATACTGTTGGACTATAACTATGGCAGGCATGGGACAGTTTCTCAAAACTGCACTTTGGCCATGTTTGTCTCCACTTTTTAAAAACTATTTTTAAAAATCTAAAAAATGTAACACTTTGACTTTGACTGGTGAACATTTTTAGGGCAGGTACTACTGATACTGATAACTTTCTCAAATTACAAACTTGCACATACAATACTATAGACAATACAGTTTTCATTCCCTTTATTTATATTCTTGATGAACTGATAATGCTATTGGATATAAGAGCATAAGGTAAGGAGTGTTAGTATTACTATTTAAGTCTTTTACAAAAAGAAGTATTGAAAAAATAAATCTTTCTTTTGGGGTGTCATAGTCATGAGTGGCCCTCGGGTTAGTGTTAAAAAATTTTTTGGCTCACCTATTCAAAAAGGTTGTACAGTACTGGTATATTAATCTATTATATGGCTATCTTAATTCTCTTTCCAGTTTTTATTTTAGTCAGTTTCATATTTTCCTATTATATTATATGTAAATGTCTCAAATAACAGAGTTATACCAAAATATCTCACAAAAAAATCATAACTTTCTTTAGCATTGATCTACAACCATACATTTGTTATCAATTAGTTGCTTTTTTCAATCCCTGTCCCTATCTTAACTATCTATCCAACTACCTCTTTTTATTAAACTACTTAAACTAAACTTAAATTAAAGCTGTGACTTGAGTTTGAGTATGACTAAAAAAGACTACGACAAGACTAACTAAGGCTAGGAGTAAGACTAAGGTGGTCACTAAGGTCTAAGTCAGGGGTCTCAAACTCCAGGGGCCGCAGGAGGTAGAGTCTGAGTGAGGTTGGGGCACATTCACATCAAGTATTTCACAAGAAAGCAATTACAAATTCAATTAAGTACAATTTTAACAATCTACTCACCCTTTATTATCATTATTAATAAATAACAAAAAAAATAATTTTTATATATTATAACTATAGTTATAGGCTTATGTCGTTATGTATACACAATATTTTAAGCGTGTTTTCTCAAAACGCACTTTGGCCCTGTTATCTCCTAAAATGCTATAAAATAAAAACTTCTATTCCAATATTAAAAATTGTTTAACCATTATAATCGTCCAAACCTATAGCGCCTATACATTTATTATACAAACATAATAATAATAAAAATCAAAATTAGACTAGTCTGTGAGATTTGATTTAAACCGTTGCAGAAGGTCACATTATAGATATGATAATTGTGAAAACACGAGTGATGCATTAACACTAAACTTTGCTGTCAGGTATCGGGATGCAAAAAATCATCTTGCGGGCCTCAAATAACCAGTGGGCTGCAAGTTTGAGATCCCTGGTCATGGTCTAAGACTCTTTAGGGTTGCCAGATACGTGGACACCTAAAGGAGGACATAATAAAACCCCAAAAAAAGGAGGTCAAAGGAGGACATTTTGAATGTTTCATTTGAGTCGTCCCGGATTAAACTCACAGTCAGCACAATTTTATTGTAATAGCTGCCAATTAAGTGTATCTTACTCTTAGTGAATCGACCAAGAAACAGTCACGTTAAAAAAACAAATTCAATGGACGCCTTTTTCAAAATGTCAAAAAACATCATTTAAATAGCCAATTGTACAATCATTACCTTATAATCTTAATTAATTTTGAATACTTAGGCTGAAAAAAGACGTCAATATAATGATGACGCTGACACTTTGATTAGGTTTCTAATTCTATGTCGGTCACTGTCAACATGGCGCTCCAAGTCAGTAGCTCCTTTGTTAGCAATGGACAAGTAACTATCGCAAATCGTATACTTTGCCTCATTCTCATTGCGTCCTTCAATGAAGCAAGGAAACTTATTTCATCATAGTTTTCGAGAATTAGCATTTTCTCTTTGTAGAAGCCATTTTATTTCATAAACATAGACAGCAAACATTACAAATTAAAAAAACAATTTGAATTTGCATCTTTATTGCCGGAACCGGTAATAACATTAACATTTTGACCTTAGACTTAGATAATACAACACAGAGCAAGATTGTAAGAATGACTAAAATCAACTGGTTCGCACATTGACATTGTAACTTAACGTAAAAAGACGATGTAATAGTTGTAACAACGATACATAAAAATTATAATATAAAATGTAAGAAAAGCCGGACATTTTAAAAGATTTTAGCTTTGCCTGCCGGACGGAGTATTGAGCTAAAAAGGGACATGTCCTCTTTTTGCCGGACGTCTGGCAACTTTATCTGATCTTATCTAAGACAGGTCACAAGCAAAAGCAATATATAATTATAATAATAATATATTGAATATAACTTAACTAAGTCTTACTAAGTCTAAGCAATATAAAACTTACCTTTCAAAAACTCAGTCTAAGTCAAACTATGGTGGCATCTTCATAACTGGACTAAGAAAACAACAATAATTCTTGAAGCTCAAAATAAAGTTAAAGAAGTTTAATGGCAATTTTACTATAACTCAATAAAAGCCCAAACAAAATTTTTCTCCACTATTGAAAACTGCGCACAGGAAGTAGTCAGGAATTGTTGGCCCCTGTTTTAATGTGTGGGGGGGGGTGAATAAACATGGGGGTGGGGGGATTTTGTAGTTATGGAGTGACGCCGTCTCCTAAATGTTAAAGGAATATATGCATTAAGTCACCTTAACACACTTTAGTGAACGAAACAGACCAGATCATTTTATTAAAATAGTTTTTTTTAATTGTATGACCTATCAATACTAACCTGATTGAAGTCTCTCCCCTTATGACCTATCAATGGTAGTGGAAATTTTCAAACAGATATGCAAGTGTTATAAGTATCATTACTATAAGAATAGTTAAAATCACATATTTTCGTTTAATTAGGGGTCATCGATAAATGACGTCACGCAAATTTTGCCTATTTCGTAACAAAAAGCTATGCCTTCCCCCTCAGATATAACGTCAAAAATTTCTGCACCCCCTCCCCTATAAAAAAAAGCCCAGTGTCCATTACTGTCCATGAAAAACCCTTAAGAAATTCAGCTCCCATGGATATCATTTAATTAGAACAGTGGTGCTTAACCAGACGTAAAAGTACTTTCCCACAGGGACGTTATTTTTTGGGTAGGGCATGATGGGGCATTAGGCGCCACCCCCCTTTGAATTTGCAGGTTTTTATTGAAATTGATATGTACTGTATCACCTCCAGTAATAAATACTTAACAAGCCGACCACGTTTTAGTTTTGCCCCCCCCCCCATTTTGAAAAAAAACTGAAACAACGCCCCTGCCTTCCCAGCCCTGGGGTGCAGAAGAGCAGATAATTGTATTTGCTTCCATTGCTAGTTGTTGCTGCTTTTTTAAAAAAAATCAGTCTTGATGCAGTTTGATGAGCAGCAGTAAATGTTTTTTTCTGGTGAATTTAGTTAGCGCTTTACTTGTGTCGGTAATATGTTTTTCCTTGTTTGTAAAAAGTTAATTAAAGAAAGAAACTATGATAACTAAATTATTTAATTATTTTCCAATTTAAGTATTATTACAATATAATTTATACGGTGTTTGTGGGGAGGGGGGTGTTTGAAACGGAGTGGGCTAAGAATCAGTAATATGTTTTTCCTTGTTTGTAAAAAATTAATTAAAAAAAAAAACTATGATAACTAAATTATTTAATTATTTTCCAATTTAAGTATTATTACAATATAATTTATACGGTGTTTGTGGGGAGGGGGGTGTTTGAAACGGAGTGGGCTAAGAATCCCCCCCCCCCCAAACTAGACCATTAACTAAGATCACCCCCCCCCAACCCTGGTACAACGATTTTTTTTCGTTCCACCCCACTTCGCATGGTAGTCCTAATTCCATGACTCTCGTCTCCACATCTAGACCTCAATTCTCTCGACTGTCAATGTCGCTACACCCATTGTCACCTCGTCCGTGGCGGCCTGTAACTTGATCACACGCCATTTTTCGGACCTGGCATACCTGTACTGATTCTTTCAGTGATCATAGTTTAAAAATAAAATAATTGTAAGTGTTGTATAAAAAGATTAATGTTTAAAATATCTGTAATTTAGGGCTAAGTGCAAATTTTTACTGTAATATTCCGCTTTTCATGTGACGTCATATTGCTAAACGCTCCCCTCCCCCTCGTCACAAAAATGTGCCCCCCCCCCCTTTTCCCTCCACGAGACGCGTGACGTCATTTTCGATGATCCCCTTAGGCCTTCATAAATGTATGATGAAAGTGTCTATTTATTAGCGAACTAAGTGTTCTTTGTTAACTTGAATGAATAATGGTCAACATTGGAAATAAAGACAAAGTCTTGAACAGATTGAAAAGTTTTCCAAAGAAGCTCTAAACAGTGCTTCATTGAAATCCATCGTCCATAATCATTATTTTAAATATGTTTAATTCAGCTCTGTTTTCGCGACAGAGAGACTGTTGGTGGGGTCCCAAGTACCCCATTGCTGTTAAGCGTTAAGTACATTACTTTGCCGAGGGTCTCCAATTTTGTTGAGATGGCCCTGCGTCCTCCTCCCCTCCCCGCCCCACCCACCCACAAATTAAAATATATAAAAACTTGTTCATATAACGAGAGAAACGTCCTTTCCATTGAACGGTGACAATAATTGCCAACAAGGTCTTTCAGTATTTAGATACAATTTGGGAATAATGATGCCCCTTGAAGTGTGGGGGCCTTAGAAGGGTGAAGCCTCCTAGTAGCGTGAGTCCCTCAAGTGGCATGGATGATGTTAGCAGCCATAATTTGATAAATCATGAAGCCTTCCCGCATCCACATAGAAACTTTCATCAAACTAATTATTATCAATAGGCCTGAATATTTTCCGAGAACATGTTAGCAATGAAATGAACAATTTGAGGAAGAAAAAAAATAATTTTATTTTCATTATTTACAGTGCATAAAAAAATTTTAAGACATTTTTTAGTTCTATGTGGAACTAAAGTGATGGGCGATATGATGGAATGAAACTACCACTAAATGGAACTAGAGCAATGGTAATACGATGGAGGAGAACTACAATGATAAAGAAACTATACTAAAGCACATCAAGATATATTCCATCAGTGAAATAGTACCTGGACGTGACGCTATGGCTATTAATAGATTATCTCACAATGAAAGTGAAACCTGTACACATGTTTATTTACATATTTTCACATTATAAACTTGTCTATCAACTTGTCTATAAACTTGGACATTTGCAGTAAGGATGTCGGAAGGGAGGTCCTCAGCCTCGTGATATTTTGTAATCCCTGAACTTAGTCGATTCTCCAAATAGTCTCTAACAACATCTTTCTTTTGTGTTTCTCTTGGTAGATGCTTTATAAATGTAGCGCAAAAATTTATACAAGGTAAAAATCAAGATGTGTTTGTCTTGAAGGAGAGGCGTACATAATATTTTTTTAATGCATTTGGTTTGTGGAGGTATTTAAAAGATTGTTCCGTTTTTTGTTTTTTTTTTATGTATTAAGGAAGCTTGTTTTCAAATTATTATTATTAGCTTATAGTATTTAGGACCAAAGCATGATAGGCATGAAATTAATATCCAGTTATAAGCATCATGGCAATCAATAAAAGAGGTTTGAGATCTATAGATCATTAGATTAAATTTTTCCTCAGAAGTCAAAAATTAAAACAAACAAGGTTTAGTTCTTGTTCATGTTTATGGCACATCTGACTTTTCATTTCTTTTTGAAAATTTCTTCATAGAACAGCCGCTCATCCACTCTTGCCCAAACACTCCCCATAAAAACACAGTTTTAAGAAATGTCAACGCATTCAAATTTTCAAGTATCCACACAGTCACTCACAAATTTAAACAGCACATTTGAAAATCGTGTATCTAAGATGTAATCGTCGTTGCATCAACATAGCACACGTATAATACCGTACGGTGAAACATTAGAAAACACCCCAATAAGAAATATCATAATCTCATTACGTTAACACATCCATGAATCAATAGCACTTATAGTCGAGAGTCGCACGGGCCTCTGTATCCAGTCCAGGGCTTGGTTCACAGTGACCACCCACACGTCATCCTTGTCTGCTAGTGAACCCAGGAATTCAATGAGACCCTCCAGGTTCCCGTCTTTTCGTCCGAACCACGATGCGTGGATGAAGATGCCCAGAGGTGCTCGGTTGCTGTTGTAGTGGCGCAGGAAATTGTCCTCAATGAACTTCCGGCTTCCCTTGGCACCAAGTCCTGGAACAATTCATGTTCAAATATTTTAGAAATTGTGTGGACAAGAGCTGTAATTATTTTAAAACATGTTAGATATTGTGTACATGATGCCATCTATCTGTGGCAAACAGTGTAATGGACCATAGCGGCTAACTGAGATGTGGGTTATAGTTACAAGGAGAACATGAAACCCAATATATCATATAAATAAAGGGCAGGGAACAATCAGAGTTGCTGTGGAGCAAGATAGGACTCTAAATGTCTTATTTGGATAGCATGATTAACAATTTTTAAAAAGATACATTTTTAGAAGAAACGTCATTTTAATCATCCTGTCTTTTTTTAAAGCATATTCTTATCTTGTTGCACTATTTATTTACTTATCTTGCTCCACTATTTATTTACTTATCTTGCTCCACTATTTATTTACTTATCTTGGTCCACTATTTATTTACTTATCTTGGTCCACTATTTATTTAATTATCACGACTTGACGCAGTCCCTCATACATTACGCTCAACATTTTTTTTTTAACGAAGCTTAAACGAGAGGTTGGGATTAAAAACTATTTAAAATGTTATTGTTAGGTTTGTGAGAAAAAATGAGGTGTCAAATGAAAGATAATTGAATGGACTAAATGTTTGTAAACTTAATTCTTCAGTTAAACAAAAATAAACTACCACAAATGACATCCGAATAGCTTGAGTCTAATGGTACCCGGGTGCGAATGGCGGCGCTGCGTTGCAGGGGGTATTTTGACTCAGGGATACGGGCGTCTGACATGTAACTATTATACTTAATAATGATACGGGTGTCTGACATGTAACTATTCTACTTACTAATGATACGGGCGTCTGACATGTAACTATTCTACTTACTAATGATACGGGCGTCTGACATGTAACTATTCTACTTACTAATGATACGGGCGTCTGACATGTAACTATTCTACTTACTAATGATACGGGCGTCTGACATGTAACTATTCTATTTACTAATGATACGGGGGTCTGACATGTAACTATTCTACTTACTAATGAAACAGGCGTCTGACATCATGTAACTTCTACTCACCAATGGTGCATGCGTCTGGCATGGCACAAGCTATTCTGTTATTGCCGTACCAGCGAATGAGTGGCACCTCCCATAGTCCCGGGTAGGACCGGGTGGGGCAGGGCGTCAGGCTGCACGTCTTGCTGTCAGGGGGCGTGTCCAAGGTAAAAGGCCAGGTCGGGGGCTCATTGTTGACGTACAGATTGCCCGTTACCATGGAAGTGTCGTACCGGAACTTGTGCTCTTTCAACATGGCGTACTGAGCGTCTCCACCAACCTAAAATGTTGTTGTTGTTGTTGTTTTTCGTTGTTGTTATTTTTAATAACGTAATTTAATATTTCTACAAATTTCTATTTAAAACATTACCTTTGTCATTGACCCTGGGCCACACAAAAATAAAATAATAACAATAACTGGCTCCCCAGCTAGACAAAGTTATTTAATCATTTAGTCAACTGAATGGACTCATCTTGGCTGATTTACTCATAGCTCTATATCCTCTACTATTACTCACAATTTTGACTTTTTTTTTTTTTTGGGAGGGGAGGGGGTTTATATCATCAAAACTCTCATATACTTATGAACTCGCTCATATGAATTGCCCCGGAAAACAAAACAGCATCACATCACTAAGACCATATACCATTACCCCCACCCCCCCCCCAAAAACTCTCATATACTTATGAACTCGCTCATATGAAATGCCCCGGAAAACAAAACAGCATCACATCACTAAGACCATATACCATGTCCCCAGCCCCCCCCCCCACCTTTCTGCCATGGGTCGGGTCATTAAGTTGGAAACGGGATTTCTGCTCGACGTCACGATGGCGTGGTGGCATGCATGGGCGCGTGCGCGTGGAAGCCAATATGTCTTAACTTTATCTTAACTTAAATTTCAAAATTTGCCCCTCGATTAGGGAGTCCAGAAAACCTTTCATGATTCCCCACCCCCACCCCCCGTGATTTGTTGACTACAGGTGTTTCAAAACGTTTGAATTTACCTGTAATAAAGGTGCATGTATTCACATGTAAGAAAGGTGCATGTAAGACATGTGAATGTATTTACCTGTAAGAGAGGTACATGCATTTACCCGTAAGAAAGGTGCATGCATTTACCTGAAGAAAGGTGCATGCATTTACCTGTAAGAAAGGTGCATGCATTTACCTGTAAGAAAGGTGCCTGTAATTACCTGTAAGTAAGGTACACGTATTTACCTGCAAGAAAGGTGCTCTCATGCCCACGATCTCCTTGAGTGGTACCCCGGACTTCTCGTGCAGCCTCTCTTTCATGCCGACCACTTCGTGCTCCCAGTTCTCGTAGCCCGCGTGCGCCCACCACGTGGTGGGGCTCCTGTGACTCAGGGTGTGGGAGGCTATCTCGTGGCCACCCTTGTACATCCTCTTGACCATGTCGTAATCGCTGTTGTCTCCGGACACGAAGAAAGTGGCTACACGATGGGATGGGGAGATGAACAAAAGCCAAAATGATCAATAAATTGATCGTGGGCCCTTAAGATATAGAAGAAGAAGAAGAAAAGCAAGATGTGGATAGCTGACCAATGCGAATTGAGACATCAGCAAGCTGTTTCCCCGGCCAAGCCTTTATCAAATTTAACATCAACCAACTGAACGTCAGTTACTTCTTTAACACCCCACTACCCCCACCCAACCTAGTACTATCAATAAACTTGTGGCAGTTATTTAATTGGGCACTTTAAAAATAAGAGGTGGCGACTACTTCCTATTTATAATGTCGTTGTTTCCCCCCCCCCCTTCAAAATAATATCATATTTTAACTGCCTTTTTAAATTAATTATAAACACAATAAGCTACAAATAAAATCGAACTAAAATTATAAATATAATCCAGTAGAGATTAAACGATATATAGACTAAATTATTATACTCTATCAGCGCAGCTGTCGTGTGGCTTTCGAGGTCGTTGCCATTTTTCAGTTGTGTGACCCTGCATTCAAGGTTTACATTTTAATTCTTTGTTCCAAATCCCAACTTAAAGATCCGAGGCCACCTGCAGCTGCAGTGGAAGCTGGGCCCGAGGGGCGGATCTGTTCAGCAGGAAACACAAACACAATGTGCCAGGATTATAGAAGGGCCCGACTCTGCATGTTTGCAAGACATCCTTTTCATTTTTTAAAATGAAAATCACTCAAACTTGGTGCATCGTGTGCCCCGTTGTTTGGTGGTGTTGTTGGCTTTATGTTTTTTTTTTGTTTTTTGTTTTTTTTTGTTGCTTTTTTTTTACATACTCACATTTGATCGGGCAGCCGTTAGGATTTTTCAGAGTGCCGTTGAAAATCTTCTTGTAGTATCCCATGTTTTGACTGTTGATGCTGTCGTCAAAGGTCAGCATGATCATCTGCGGAACGTCCTTGGGATCAAGGTCGCCGGGGACGTCAGAGCCGACGCAGCGACAATCTGGCAACTTACACCAGCTGTCGCTGCACTTCCCTGCCAGACAAAAACAAAATAAAATGTATAATTTACAAACTATATATATTTTTGTGGAGCATTGTAAGACTGAAACTGGACTGTCATGTAAATGTGCTCCCAGTCAGGGTTTCTTTCAGCTATATCTACGTGGGAAAGCCAAGTGCCCCCCGGAACAAAAATATGTCCAACAATAAATCAGCTGGCACTACCCCCCGAAAAATCTGAAGTGCCCCCCCCCCAAACCCGGGGGAACATTTCTGAAATAATCACTGCTCAACTGGACAGTAATGTTAATGGGGGCGACCTCTGTCCCTTACGTGACTATAAGAAAATTTTGGATGAAGAATCATTGGATGACCATCGTGTGCTTAACACAACATTGGAGGACCACACTAGGGCTAAACACAAATCTTCATTCATAAATAAGTCGTGCGCTGTTGTGTTTTTGTAATATGGTTTTTCTTTTTGTTTTAAAGTTGTTCTATAAAAGTCTTTTTTTTTTTGGTTTTAAAGTTGCTCTAGTAAAAGTCTTAATTGAAATGTACTACATGACCCAAGATTTTTCCGTTTTCTTTTTGTAGAGGCCATATTGAAAAAAAAAGGAAGAGGTAAATACTTAACTCTTTGCGAACACCAATGTCATCGGGATTTAAGCATGGTGTGTACTAGTAATGTACAGAAATAAGTCTCAACACTCTTTTAGATTAGCTGGTACTCCGTTGTTGTTTTTTTAATCTTATTCCATGCTTCTCATTTTTTACATTTAGATTCAACTTTATTTGTTCGCCGAAAAATTCATCATATTGCATTCCATTTAAATTTTGTTTCAGGTCACATGACTCTAAACGCTAAATGCGTGGTAACTTTCACAATTAAATTGACGTCAGACTAAGTTTCATACCATTCACACGATTGTTTAAGTTAAAAGCGTGCCCGCAACTTACCCTTCTTATATTCGTATTTGTCGATGGGTGACTTGTAAGCACTGAGTTTGCTATCTTCTTCCTGTTTGGATGAACTCTCTTCCTTCTGTGCTCCGAGAGAAAACCTGTCCGACGAAGCTGCAGCGTTGACAGACTTGGAATCGGATTTGTCCGCCTCTGGTCGCTTGTCAGCAGCAGCGGCTGCGCTGTAGGGATTGGTGGCACTATTCTGAGCTCTGTGCAGGGCAAACTTCCTGTCTTCTGAAGCGGCGAGCTTACTCGGAGGGCTGTACACTCGGTGGAGAGCGAAGCGTCTCTCGGCCTCAGTCTCGGGGCTTATCTTGTGCAACGAGAAGCTTCTCTCGACCGGCCTCGGCGGTGCAGCTGGTTGTGGCTTGTACGAGAATGAATCTTTCGCGGCCGTGTCGTCACCGGAAGGAACAAGCTCGATGTCGAAAGCTGGCGTTCTGGTCAGGTAGTTTGGTCTGTGAAGGCCGTCGTGGCGAGGAAGAAATGCACGACGGTAGAAGGGTTGTCTCGGTTTTTGACCGGTCTCCTGACGACGAGTTGTCCGTGTGGAGCTGACCGATGACCACCAAGGTAGGCTACTGGAATCTTTGGGTGTGTTCGGTTGGGTGGGACTCTTCGGTTGGGTGGGACTATTCGCTTGGGTTGGATTTCTCTTTGGTTCGTCTGTATTTTGTAAGCTCACCGTCGAAGCCCTAGACGCCGAAGCACTAACTGGGTTTGTATTTTTTTGAAGCCGCGCCCCTTGTCTTTCTGTGTTGCTTCTGGTGGATTTGGAAGTCCACGATGTCGGCCTTGGCCAATCAGATCTAGTCGAAGCTCGTGCTGCGTGGGCTCTCGGGGTTTCGTTAAGTTTCACGGTTTCGCTTGAACGTGCTTGATTCCTCTCGGGGGAAGGGGCCGTTATCTCGGACCTCTTGGCGGCCGATGTCAATCCGTTTGTTCCGTTTGTGGTCGCAGCTGGCGTCATGGTCGCTTCAGGGTTACTTCTCTTTTTGTATGCCTCATTTGTCTCGGGAGACTTTGTGAACTCAGATCCGGTCAAACCCGAACCGGTCGGTCGCGGCTTAAATTTTTTCATATTCAATTTTTCACTCGTCGTGCCTTGAGTCGTCGTTTGTGGCGCATGTTGGTTCGTTTTCGTCTGCATCAGGGTCGAGTCTCCTTGGTCCAGTCCCGATTTCCCAACAGTTTTGGGAACGGTTGGAGATTTAGTAACGGTCGCTGTTCGCCCAGAAGTTATTTTTACCCACGAAGGGACGTATTTAAGTGTAGTTACGGAAAGCGCGTCGGGAATATCGTCCTCGAAGTCTTCTTCGCGTTTCATGCCATATTTTTCCCTGAATCTGTTGAGCTCTGCCTTCCGTTTCTTGTCGACGGTGTTGTGGGAGATTTGCTGGGACGCCTTAGCGTTAGTATCACCGGGCGTCTCGTACCACTTCGGTGTCTCTGTGATGTCATCGGCGTAGTTCGTGGCGGATCTGTAAGGCGCCGGTAAGGCTAAGGGACTGAACTCGCTTCTCTCTGACCAGTCGCGCGACGATGACTTCCCCTTGGTATTCTCTCTCGGTTTTGTCACCGCCGGGCGCCGTGGCGCGTATTCTCTGGTGTCCGGCTTGCTCCGGCTGGTCTGCACCGGATGGTAGGCGGTGGTCGTTTTTCTGAACGGACTCCGAGACACGGTTGTCGTTGGGGCTGGTGTTTTCTTATACGGGCTCGCCTGGGGCGTTCTTAGCCTGGTGGCTATGGCGCGCCGTGGGAATGTCGGGCGTGAAGCTTTGAAGGGTTCGATCATGTGTCCTACTAATTCCATTTCTGTCGGTCGAACGTTTATTTCCTCAACGCGTGGTGCACCCGGCGTGGTCGTTTCAACAATGTCAATATCTCTCTCATTTTGGTTACTTTCATCGCGCAATGCCTTATACCTCAGAGACGTTTCTTCCGTTTTACCCATGGGCAGTTCATGTGATGGGTTGCTTGTAAATTTTCCACCCGCGACCTCTTCAGTTTGAATCGGAGGTTCAGGTGTCGTTGCGTCAATCCGAGGAGCGTCTTCCATGACAGTTGATGCTTTATACGGACGGAACATCTTTCGAGACTTGCCCCGAGGGGCGTTGTTTTGCCTTACACTCGGAGGCTCGCCAGCATCCTCGTTGTTTTGACCAGGGTCTTCTCGTCTCGTCTCAAGTAAGTGGATGCTTTGTCTGACCACAGCGTTTATGCCTTCTTCCTGGTCATTTTGAGTTCGTGAACTTCGAGAATATTCTTGACCGCTGCTTTGTTTGATGACCAGTGATCCCTGTCCATCTGGTTCCGGTTGACCTAGAAACTCTCTCTGCCGACTCGCGTGCTGCCTGGCTTCCTCCACACAATTTACAGATTTCGGCCAGTCGCAGTTCTGGGTTCTCACATTGTAGTGTAGGTCCCCGGGGCATTTATTCGTGAACTTGTTGTTGCCCATACAGATGTGGAAGACTTGAGGATCACTGTCGTCACAAACAAACCGGCCCTTGACTCCACCACAAGGTAAACTGGACAGACTGGCGGCCACAGGGCACAGGCACACCAGGTAGGTGAAAATAATCATCAAATAAGTCGCCGAAGTTTTCTCAAAGCTCGTGTCTACCATCTTGAGCTTCATTGTATCCCCCCGCCCGGCTGTGTCTAAAACATGAGAGTGTCGATGACAAAAGTTAGATTCCCTCCAGTGAGCGTGTGTATGTTACTGTTCTGTGAATGGCTTTAGTAAACAGAGCCAAGACTTGATGTAGTGTTGGAATCCCCTTGTGGTATCTATCCGTCACAAGAAGAGATGAGTTAGTCCTAGAATGATGAACTGAAATCCAAATAAAGAAATACAACGTTACATTAGTATACAACAAAAAAATAATGGTGTGAAGTACCACTGAGAGCCCGCGCGCTGTCAGTTGAAACTTTGACTGAAACTTTCGATCTCATACCTCCTTATAAATGCCCCGTGAACAACAACAAAATATTTTAACCCAGAATTCCCGAACTTGCAACCAAAACAGATGTGTTTAACCAAACCACGACATGTCTTTAAAAAAAACCAAAAAAAAACACACACACACACAAAACAAAAAACCACCAGAAATTCACAAACCGGAATCCAACAAGCAGGTAACAAACAGGTAACAAACAGAGCGGCACATCAATTTAATAGCCAAACTCTCCACTGTGTCAACTGGTCTTGAAACTTGCACCATGTGAACGGTCTGATTCTGTTGGTCTTCGATGCCGGCGCCACCACGTTGTTTAACCCGGGGCAATCTGCTTGCATGAAATTATTTGAATGAACTCGAGATGCCTTAGGCTGAGGTGAGTCCGGAGTAGTCTCGGAAGCCGTCAGCGCGTGCTATGTCACGAGGTAAACAGCGGGGACGTCGGTGGCCCCGTGTTTGCTGGCCATGCAGTTGCACGTTGACTGCTTAGTTTTAGGTTATTGAACAGCCATGGGCGTTGCTGCGAGTCAACAGCTCTCTCATGTTGAACTGCAGGTGTAATGTAAGATATTATATTCCACTATTATTATTAATTGTCATTTTTTGACTTGACAAAAGTTCAATACTATTACTTAGATCGCTTTTGTTTGAGTAGATATCAACGCGTATGTCTAAGATCGAGGCCCATGTATAACATTCAGGCTTCAATGTTCCGCCCATGCATGTAGATTACACAGTGACGCCCATGCTGCAATCCAAGCGCCGTTTATTATTTCCATACAGATGTCATCTGGCCCAACGTATCTCCGGGGCAAATATGCTAGTTATGCCGCCATTTTAACTGGATTGTCATGTGACATGTCGACCACGTTTTAAAACCAGATCATTCGCGTACAATATTTAGGGCAAAGTTGTTGAAAGTTACCTTCGTTGTACCATGGGGGTCAGGTATCCCCAATCCTGGACTGACACTCTAACAGATTATGTTAGTCAAGTCAGTCCATGACTTTGTCAGTGAGTCGAAGATCAATGTTCGTTGCAAGCTTGTTTGTTTAATTTTGTTGTTTTTTTTTTTAAAATAATTTAAATGTCACTAAATAGCTGCTAGCATCTCTAAATGCGTTGTTTTAAACGGTATTTTCTATATACTAGAGAAAGAGAGAGTCGATCAGGGAGAGGAGGAGATAGAAGAATAGAGCGAGGGGGTTTCACTGTATAAATCTAGTTAATTTACAATTTAACTGACGTCACCACAGTTAAAATTTTTCGTGTACTAATTTTTTAAAAATATATATTTTCGTGTTTCTATTCGCTCTACTACTAAGACCATTTTAGGGTTACTGGAAATTTGTTTAAAAGAAAGTTCGTCGACGGAAAATTGATCGACCGAAGTTTGGTCGGGCGGAAATTTGATAGAATGTTGTTTTTTTTTCCAATTCACACTATCTAATTTTCGTCAAATTTTTTTTTGAACGCACTATTATATTTAGTAAAAAAAAGAATAATAATGCGTTCAAAAAGAAATTAAAGTTCAATCAATTTTCCGTCGACGAAATGTCTTTCAAACAAATTTCCGGATAGGCCGCCGCCATTTCAGCTACTAGCCGTGAGTCTAGTGATCCGTAAATGCTTATTATCCTGATGGGAGTCACCTGTTTACTGATGGTAGCGGACTAATCCGAGCGTGGTGGTGGAAGGTACTCAATGAATTTAACAAGGTATCACTTGATAGCCAGGGCCGTTGTAATAGAATTTCGAAAGCGATTATACGATTTTATAAAATGGAAATGAACAACTGATTCGTTACTTCATCGTTTGGCAATAGCAACTACAAAAATCTCCTCTCACTGTAGGTCGACGTCGACTGCAATGTTCGTTTCTTCAATTTTCATCAGAGTAATCTTGTTCTAACATAGAAGTAGGCAAATCGTTGTAGTGGACCATCACAATTACAGGTCTGAGCATCACGGGACTATGACAACCGAGCGAAAGGCATCAGTAGTATCGATATCACCCATTTGGTACAAATGGAAAATATGTCATAATTAGTAAAAAAAAATAATTAAAAATTGTCTATCATTATATGATTGGTGCTTTAAAAAAACAACAACATTTTTTGTACTCTCCATTAATATACGTTTCGCTGACATTAGAGACGGAAGTTATGGCAAAGAATATCAAACCTAATATCGATTTGGCCTAAAAAAAACAAAATTAAATTCTGTTTCCAATTTTCTTAATTTCATTTTTTTTTTAAATAATCTAAACGCACACGGGTCAGCCATAGAAGTGGAGCGAGTGAAGCAGAGAGTTTGGCTTGCCGTCTTGTGGCCAGGGGCCCTAGTTTAAATGATATATATCAATTAATCTTTCATCTCGTTTTCCTTTCAGCGAACCACTTCCATTGCCTCAGCATGTATTTTGTCTCGGGAATCGCTGTTTCCAATGTCTAAAAATGACTCAAGTATCTGGATGTACCCTTATGCGGAAAGCGTTCTGACTTTGTTTACTCACGTAACGTTATTTCGTCTGACCACTTTATTTGAATTTACATTCATTAAATCGGAATAGTATTATGGATATTGAAGCTACGGCTTAAAATCTTAGCTCATACCTGAATCTTAAAGTCGGTGAATCCCAAAGCCAAACCGAAGACACTGAGATAAGTGTTACAGAAAGTAAAAGCTTTTTCTCAAGAACTCCAGTGTTAAGCTAAGGGACACTACTCTGACTCGATGAGTTGGTAACCTGCCTTTATAACACGAGATGGGGGAATCAATTCAAAATTGTTCAGTTTTTTTTTGTGGTTTTTTTGGTCTTTTTTTTTTTTGTTGGCATCTTCGGCTAAGGAAATATTCCAAGGATACCTGTCTACAGCACAGGACTTCCCCGCTATCTGCTGCAGCATTTTTTGGCACCATATGAAGTGTGGCTACAAGCATTCTTGACATGATGGCCGGCCATTAGACTCGCGCCAAAATTTTGACCGTGATGACAAGAGGGACAGGAGATTGGAAAATAACGATGCAGTGGCGTTGCTAGACCACCACCACCCCCCTTTCCTAGGCACATTTGGCGGGGAGGGGGGGGGTGTGGATCCTTCTTGTGTAGCAGCTGGTTCCTTCTTGTGTAGCAGCTGGTTCAATATAATTCCAAATGCAAAATTTCAAACTTAATAGTTTGACATGATTATCCGATGATTATTGTATGATTATTAGTCTTCAGTTCTGTATTGGTACGTCAAAAAAAAAAATAATTCAAAATTTAATCAAATATGTGTTGATTTCTATATCACAAGACTCATCTGTGTGCGTTTGTGTGTGTGTGGGGGAGGGGGGGGCGGGGCTAAAGAGTAGGGACAGGACCCATCTTTCTAAAGATGGCAACCAGCATTATTGTGATATTTTTGGTAAAGTTTGCTGATTGAATTGAACGTCAAGTCCAATAATATCTCACAAACACATGGGGTGATTCCAAATGTATGATTTCTGAGATGATTGTCATGGGCTCCACACCATGAAGGGAGGCTAGAAAAGGGTAACTCAGCATGCAATTATTTAGAAATTGTCCTCATACCATACACGCTCTCCATCTGCCCTCCACGCCATATAAAGTGTTACACTCAATGACCTGCCCGATAGCCGTGTATGGAAACTCATCTGAATTTTGTGAGACAAAGTGAAAATGATGTTGTTTTTTTTTTTTTTTTTTTTTTTTTTTTTAAATTCCCCCCTCGGCTCACGCTTTAATTTTTAATTTGACAAAAAAATATATATTTTTTAAAATTTTTTGAAGTATTCCCGANTTTTTTTTTTTTTTTTTTTTTAAAGTTTGTTTTTTGTCTTTTCAATTGTTGTTTTATAAAATGTTGTATTTTTTTTTTTTTTTTTTTTTTTTTTTAATGTTTTATTAATTTTTTTTATTTTTTTTTTTTTTTTGAGTTGGTTGTTTTCTTACAGAAAATTACTTTCATATTTTTTATTGTAATACTTTATTATTTTAAATTGCAATACTTTATTATTTTAAATTGCAATACTTTATTTTTTAAATCGTGTTACTTAACATTTAAATTATATTTATTTTATTTTTCTAAAATTGCATTGCTTTAAAATTATGTTTTGTAGAGAATCTTATGTTTGACTGAAGATAAATGTTTAACGTATGAGTTGCGTAGTTGGACGGACATGGGATTATTGTTGATCCATCATTACTTCTTTACTGAGCTTATTCGCTCCTTGTCTGCAAGTCTTTGATTGACTTTGGCTTGTACTGATTAGCGCAGTCAATAAATAGCCCCAACTTAACGTCGGGTCGATGGCACTTCATTTGGTCATGCTTGACATAACTTAGTCATTAGGTCTGCATGTCAGCTCATGACAGTATGCTTGACATAACTTAGTCATTAGGTCTGCATGTCAGCCCATGACAGTATGCTTGACATAACTTAGTCATTAGGTCTGCATGTCAGCCCATGACAGTATGCTTGACATAACTTAGTCATTAGGTCTGCATGTCAGCCCATGACAGTATGCTTGACATAACTTAGTCATTAGGTCTGCATGTCAGCCCATGACAGTATGCTTGACATAACTTAGTCATTAGGTCTGCATGTCAGCCCATGACAGTATGCTTGACATAACTTAGTCATTAGGTCTGCATGTCAGCCAATGACAGTATGCTTGACATAACTTAGTCATTAGGTCTGCATGTCAGCCCATGACAGTATGCTTGACATAGCTTAGTCATAAGGTCTGCATGTCAGCTCATGACAGTATGCTTGACATAACTTAGTCATTAGGTCTGCATGTCAGCTCATGACAGTATGCTTGACATAACTTAGTCATTAGGATGTCAGCTCATGACAGTATGCTTGACATAACTTAGTCTTTAGGTCTGCATGTCAGCTCATGACAGTATCCTTGACATAACTTAGTCATTAGGTCTGCATGTCAGCTCATGACAGTATCCTTGACATAACTTAGTCATTAGGTCTGCATGTCAGCTCATGACAGTATTTTTTGTTTTAATATGACCATCTTGAAAAACGATGTGATTACATAACACCTCAAACGCCACCCCATAATCACAACCACCAACCTAACACCATCCCGCCATCACCACTGCCATCACCACTGCCATCACCACTGCCATCACCACTGCCATCACCACTGCCATCACCACTGCCATCACCACTGCCACCACCACTGCCATCACCACTGCCATCACCACTGCCATCACCACTGCCATCACCACTGCCATCACCACTGCCACCACCATTGCCACCACCACTGCCATCACCACTGCCATCACCATTGCCAC